TTTTTAATAGTGAATGCCATAATTAATTTCTACTTTCTACCATCAAAATCACCAAACCAATTTGGGCTGCATGTATAATTAAAAAGCAATAACAGTTATAATGATTAATTAAACTATAATGATGATAATGATCACAACCACTCTAATAATATTTACCTTGATCTTCCAATATAGCTTTTTTTGCTTAGAAATTTTTTATTGACATGTGTTGAGTAAATTTCTCTCACATGATCTTCCACCCATACTTTAACTTAAGTTAATAATAAACAACACTTACCCAGTGAAATAAGTGACTTTGGCATCTTCTTCTAGTTCGATTTCTATTCAACATCTTAAAAAATTTAAAGTAAGAAAGATTATTTGTTACTTGATCAGCATATGCATACACAACTAATTATTATTTATGTGATGTGCATGTCATATATACAAATAAGCTCCTTATTGTTTTTTTTTTTTTTCTAATAAAGAAAATGGTTATATTTTACAAAATTCAAGATGAGGAAATGTATGGCTCTTTCAAAGAGGACATGTTGTCATTAATGGTGAGAGGCAACATGCAATTTTTTTTTGGTATATATACACTTTGTTTTTAATATAAAATATCTCACTGAAATCAACATGTGGAGCAGAACTTGTCATATATTAGGTAATTATAACAAATAAATGAGACATCGTTTTTCTTTTTGTGACTTTTATTAATATTAATATTAAATAAAAATTATAAGATGTCAAGAAAAGTGACTTTTAAAAGATAGGATATGTAATGTTTGATTATTGGATTTGCAGGTGTTGAGGTATGCACACTACCTTGAACACTTTATAGTTATTCTCACATGTTCCTCACGTTAACAAGACTAACCTGACCAAGATTCTTCCGATGGTATGATGATGCGACTGAATTCCAGGAGGGAGCAACATGGCCCTGGAATTTATTGAGATCATTGTCAAGGGCACTTCTGCATATCCTACCTGATCCTTCCTCACAGCACTTGAGTTGATATTACATGGACAAGCATGTTAGCTGGACACCTCTAGGTGGAGAAGATAACACAAAGCAAATATTGCTCAAGTACTAACTCTGAACAGTGGCCCATGCTCACATGGAAATGGCCAAGTCTTGAGAAAGATGAGGGAAGTTTTTGCCCACCTTAAAAAGTTTTCCAACATGTGGGGTGCTTCAACTGTGGGGAAAATTCCATAGTGCTGAAGCGTGTTAAGAGCACTTGACTGCATGTTTGTGTTAGGAAATTTTTATTAAATCTGACACCTGCAATCAACATCAGATTTATTATTCATAAGGAGTTGGCGAATAGACTTCGTGGTAAAAACCACTTTTATCCATAGTGAGGAGG